GGACGGCTCGCGATCCGCCGGCGTGGGCCGGCCCGCTTCGCTTCCGAGTCAGCGTCGCTCGGGGAGCTGCGCTGGGATGTCCGGTTATTCTTGTTCCTGTGTTGTCTCGGGATGGTTCCAGTGCAGTGCCAGCTTGAGCCATTTTCCATGCATGGACGGATTTGTCCCTCTTCAGTCAAATCACTTCCAAATTTTCAGATGCTTTTTAAGTTTAATGCTTCTGTATGTTTTCTTGCTGTGTTTGGTGTGTGGGGGGGAACCCACTGTCATTTTACAGCAAACATAATCTGGTGGAAATGCAGAAGTCTGTGAGAGTTCCTGCCGAGTTTCGAGAAGCTCGAGGCCCATTTTTTGACCAGCCACGTCGATGCCAGTGAAAGAAACTTTGAACTCTTGTGCTATGTTGTAGGACCTCATAGGTGCTGTTACCTCGCTGCAAAACTTAGACAGTGTGGTGAAGTTCATGCCCCAGAAGTTTATGACCAAGTTCTGTTACTTCTTCCTAGAAAGAAATTTCTCTAAGTGAATGTTTGTTGGCTGATGAATTCTGCATAGTTAGACCTATAGTCTCGGTAATACTGCTCTAGACTTACTTCTCCACTTTTTTGTTTTGTTTTTAATAGTATATGTACAAGTTAAAATAAATCTTGGAAATGCAGAGGCTAGATTGAAAGTCAGCGAGCTCATTATGCTGTTTCTGAAAGTGTGAAATAACAGATGTCTGTGAAAAGAATACAAGAAGAAGAATGTGCTTTCTTCTAATGTCTCTGGCAATCAACGGCTTAGAGAGTAGCCATGAAGTACATCTTCTGAAAAAAAAAAAAAAAAAAAAAAAAGGAAGGTTAAGAAGAAACTTAAACATCTTTACGGCTGTTATCAGTTGCAGTAAAATTTGCTGGTAGCATGCAGGTTTATTAAATTTTGCCTTGTCATTTCAACAATCCATCTAGAATAATACATTTTTTTTTATTAGGCTGAAAATAGGAGCTTGGCAGTAGTACTTCTGCCGTTGTCTCCAGGTACCTCATGCCTTTTTTTGTCTCCAGTTATGCTATGGTCACGTCTATATTACGTGTCCTGTCAGGGCAGTAATGAGCCATGTTACAAGATGGTCTATGTAACTGCCATGCTGAAGCGTCTGCTCTTCTTTTAAACGTTAGTAGCCAGGTTTCTGTAGCATTTTCAATAGATATAAGTAGATGTGTCTATTTAAAAGCTTTGGGACAGTTGTTAAGAGATGTTTGGGACATCTCTTATGTCACAGTCTGTATAAGAATCATATAATTACAGTATTTTAGTCACAAGCTACATGGTTTATTAACTTATAAGCATATATTAAATCTTAAATCATTTGATAGGAAGTACTGTAGTTAGATGCCTTTGTAGAACAAGGACCGTGGACACACCCTTAACTCTAAAATGGTTCCTTTTTAGTCAACTTTCTGCACTTGGCATCAGTGTATTTGATTTTAAAAGCGAACAGCAACTCTCCTCTTGCTGTGTTGAAATAGAAACATGCATTTTTACCCAGTCTTGCTGAGGCTTTCTCATTGAATAAGCTTACAGAACAAAATAAAAAAAAAGTTTACAGGTGCAAACTAAAAAAATTCCATTACTTAGACTGAAAGAATGGCTTTATAGGTTAATCTAAAAATATATCTATAATCAGTGTAGCATCATAATTTTTTCTCTTCAGATCTTAATGTGAAGTACCTAAGGTATGCAGTGAAACTGGTTATGAGGTGTAGTTTTATCTGTGAGTGTGACTGGTGTTCCTTTCTCTTATCTCTCTTTTTCCTGGAAAATAAAAAAGGTGCCCAAACAAACAAACAAGTGTATTGAAGAGGAAATAACCAAAAGCATTCAAATAATTTTGTGTGGCGTTCTAACTAGTTATAATACTAATATTGATTAGTATTATAACTGGGTTGGTAGTTGAATTAATCTGGTAGGATCTTTATGGTAAGACTTGTAATAGTTCTTTTCTGCTTGCCTTTCGCAGTCTTGGGTTCTCTTCTTTTGTTGCTGATGTTAGATTTAAGGTCTCACAGTGATTTTTATCTAGAGTGGATGTAGCTTTCACTTTCTGTGCCTGTGCTGCTGTCCAGCTGCTGTTTTTAGGAGAACTTTATTAAAGGTTGGAGGAACAGATTCCTTTCTCTTCTGCTTAGTCTGCCTGCTGAGCTGGTTGTCTGGATAACAGTCCTGAGGCTCCACCACTCAGTAAGCAAAGGCACAAATGGGAGTGGGATTGCAGAATGGTGATAGAAATGGCAGTGTTCAGCTGCCTAGCAGACTTGGCGTGTCATCTAAGTCTTGTTTGTAGAGGAACACACGTAAGGATTAGATTATGCTCTCCCTTTCAAATGTGGGTGTGATCAAATGTTTGAAAACTAATGGCTTGAAAATCCAAACCTGAAGGCTTTGTTAGAGAATAATCTCGGGAAATAGAAAGTGTGCTTTTTCCCTGTATGAAGAGCACTTGCTTCAATGGTGTTTTCTGTCTGTAATTGCTGACTGTTGTGTTTATAGGCGATGGAGCACCTACTGGTAACTATGGCTATACCAATAGTGGATACAGTGTATATGAAGAAGAAAATGAAAGGTTAACAGAAAGTCTGCGTACAAAAGTCAGTGCCATTAAATCAGTAAGTATGTAATTACGGCAGTATCATCACACTCACTGAATTAAATTACATGAACTAGTGAAGCAGTAGGCTTAGTTCAGAACATAAATATAATGCAAGAAAGTATTGTCTGCCAAAATGCTCAATGCATTCATTCGTGTAACTGATTTTTTCCTTTAATTAGATTGTAGCTACAGGTGTCCTTTTTGGCTAATCTTGAGGACAGCTACAGTGTTACATATTGCTTCTTTTTCTGCAGGGACACTGACTCATTCTTTAGAAACAAGAAACTTCACTTTAGGTCAGTGAGTAATCTACCAATAAATTGGCTTTTTTTTTAAGATAAGTGAAAATGATGATAACAAAAACATATGTTGATAAGTCTGTAATGTGTAATACAGAGGACATTAACATTTCTTTCTAACAATTGTGAGGGAAACATCTTAATGATTCTGATTGCTTCCAGAGATTGAGGACTTCTTCCAGATAAATCTAAACCAAAGTCTAACTGATAGACAGCTCTGTGATAATTTTTTTAAGAGCAGTTTGTAAGATTAGCAGTAGGTGTCCTACATCTATAGATGTAGGAGAAGCCAATCAATTTTATAGACCTAAACTCATTCTAATTCTTTTTGCTAATATTGTGGCTTAAAAGTAATTTGTTAGTCTCAAATAGAAATTAAACCCTTTGGTTTAAATTTAGAAATTATCCACCTATATGATTTAGAGTAAGTTAAGGAGATAAAAAGAAAAGCTTTGGCCTTTGTTACAGTACTTAACTTCACTCCTTTTCCCCTAGTGAGTTCTATCCCAAATAAGTTGCATTGCAGTTGATAGTGCTCCATGAGTAGCATGTGTGCTCTTCCTGCAATTGCATCTTCTACTGCAATGGATTGACCTTGCATTATGGAATCATCTTGAAATGATCTGCCTAGAAGCTTCATGTAAAATGAGTTTGTCTTGACCTGGTTATAGATTGCTGTGAAATGCAGCAGTAAGAAATAATGGGATTGAGGTTGTGGCACAAAGATATATGGGCTTTGATTAATCCAAAGCATCAGGGCTTGTAGCACGTTCCTCCTCCCAACCCCCCCAGGAGATGCAGCAGTTTTGTTCTTTGTGCCGGGTCTCGTACCTCTGCTGAACTGCTTTTCTGGCTTGACTTTGGACGTGCCTCATCACTTGAAATTGCTGGGTGATCTGGACTGTGGCTGACCCTGGTTACTGTCTCTGGACTGACCCTGACTTGCCTTGCTGGCTCCTTGTCCTGCTGTGCTCCTGACTTACCTTCTCTTGAGGAGCTGCCTGCTCTTGCTGCTTCCTGATGCAAAGCAGAGAAGGAATACAAAGAAACAGGAAAGAAATTCTGTTGACAGGGTAGCAGCAGCTTGTCAAAAGAGATGTTAGCAGGTTACAGGTGTCAGCTCTAGCAACACTGAGTCAAGAGTGCTCTTGAGTCTCAGCTGTGTGCCAGTAGTTTAACAGCTGTTCCAGAAAACAGATAACTGTTACTTGGACTTGAAAGACTTGAGGTTTTTAAAAGTCTATGCAATAATTCTAATAAGGAATTCTCAGTTCAAGCAGAAAAAGGGAGGAAAAGCTTTGAATGCCTTCTGTGGCGGTCTAGACTCATAGTCAAATGATGAATATTGTACATCCAGGTTTTATAACTTCTGGTTCTGTTTTTCAAAAATATTAGATATTTTGTCCACCTCTTTACCTAGGGAAATACTAGCTTGACTAGTGATGTCAAGTATTTTTAGAATGGATTCTCTAATCTAGTTATATATATGTGATAACTTAAATTTAATGCTTTTTTTTAATAGCTTTCCATTGAAATTGGAACAGAAGTTAAAAATCAAAATAAAATGTTATCGGAGATGGTAAGTGTTCAGTCACTACTAACTTCTTAATCTTGCTCTGTATTTAAAGAAAGTTAACGTAAAATGCTGATACTAAAAGAAGGAACCTTTATATAAAAATGTTGACAACTTATTATTGACCATACAATTTGACCAGTTCGGCAGCAAGAGTTCTGTTCACAGAGAATGATGTGGAAGTGTGGTGGGTGTTCCAAGGAGTAGCCAAGGTGGTTATGCTCCAGATCTGACTACTCATTTTGTATCATCAAGCAAACAGTATTATACAAGGCAGTTCTGTATTATTAGACCTTAATAATAGGTGAAGGAAGCAAAAAAGGAAGTGGGGGTGGGGGGGGGGAAAGGAAGTCAGAAATGTGTTTGTTGCTTACAAGTGAATTTGCTTGGTAGGGGGTTGAGGGGGGAGAATATACCTGGATTAATGCGCTGAACTTCTTCCTAGTTAAATTTCAGAAGACTTGGAAAAAAAGACTACACTTAACAATGAGGATACTTCGTTTTCTCATAGTAACTTGTTTTTGCTTTGTTTTTTAAATGTAGGATAACGACTTTGACTCTACGGGTGGACTTCTAGGTGCAACTATGGGCAGACTGAGAACGCTCTCCAGAGGGAGCCAGACAAAACTATTATGCTACATGATGCTCTTTGCATTCTTTGTTTTTTTTGTAATATACTGGATTATTAAACTGAGGTGATGAAAGTTATCTTCAGTTTAATTTGTGTAACTTCAACCGTGAAACAGTCTGAATTAATGAATACAGTGATTTAAACTGGCATATTCTGTTAAAATGATATTGCTGTAAATTGCATTAAGTTTTAATGCAAGTTATATTTTTTTTCTTAATGTATCAGAATCTCTCCCATCACCCCCTGTTTTAGGTGGATTATTTGTAAATATGCAAATACCACTAGTACACTAGGGTGCCTTTTTTAGGGCAATTTTTTTTTTTTTTTTAAGAATTAGCTTAAACAAACAACCCACCAAAACAAAGACTGTTCAGATGTGAAGAATCACAGACCTTTCTCTTTGATTCTACTTTTCATTCTGGACCATGTTCTAAATTAGAGCTCCAGTTTCAGGCATATAGTAATCTTCAGGTTACAAAAGCACAAATAATACTTGGATCTTCTTGAACTGAATTTCTTTTATGGATTTCTAAAGGATTGGCCTGAAGCTAATGAATGTGAAAATGGTGCCCCAAAAAATAATTTTGATGCCCAAAGGGATGAGGGCTAATAGTCTCTGTATTCTGGAAGTTTAAACTTTGTGTTTTAGGGAGAAGCTATGTAAAACTGGATTTTTTTTTTATAAGTGTGGCTAAGTAACACTTACACATCTATTCTTTTAAGCAAATGCCTTTGATCGTTCAGATCAACCAATATGGACACAATACAAATGTTTCCCTTAAATTTTATATTTAAAGTACCCGAAACTTAGTGATTCCATTGAATCACTAGAACTTTTACTGGTAGTATGTTCACTTTTCCATCAATGATGATCTCTAAAGCTGCATGATATCTGAAATGTGAGGTCAGATATTCTGACTTTTATATTGAAATGTATAATGATGCACCTGTTGAAGGTGCCCTCATGTTAACTTTTTTTTTATGACTTAGCTTTGGCTCACCAAATAGTTTCTTATACTTGAAGGTATTACATTGCTGAGTTCAACATTCAAAATATCACATTTCCTAGCAATTGAAATTGTATCTAAAATTTTTTGAATAACTTTTCTAGAAACACTGTATAGTGTGTTGCCCTGAATAACTTAATTAAAAACTAATAAATAAAGTGACCTAGAATACTCTAACTAGTATGTAGTTTGTATATACACAGTCTTTCTAATGCAGAATACCAAGGTTTTTTTGAAATGTTGCTGCATGTAAAGGAGTTAGAATTGTGAGATGATATACTGTTCAAATAAGAAATGGAGGTGTAAGCCACATGGTTCTTTCATGTTAGGTTTTGTATATTAACAAAAGTATGGCAGATAAATCACTTGTCTAATATAATACATTTATACTGAATGTGTAAAAAAAAAAAAAAAAAGTGCAAGTATTTCTAGCTGATTTAATCTTTGATTGTTAAAAGGTCTATAAAACTTCTGCAAAAAACAGAAATCTGAATATTAATGCCAGAATAATCAGTGTTCTTCATTTAAGAATCACTAGGCTTATTAAGCAAGTATAATGTTGCCATAATGCAACCCATAGGATATAATTTGCCATCCGGAATTGATGCACTTTTATAATTACAATGAGACTGTGGATAGGAAGGTACCTAGTAAGTGAGATAACTATTGACATAACTCTTTGACAGTCACGCTCCCCTGACAGTTGATCATCTTCTAGAAGTATATTTAGTCTTCATATTAAATCTTTTTTTTTTGTGGGTCTCAAATGTGATGCCTGAACAATTTCTATACACTTTTTTTCTTAGTAATCAAGCTGTTTTACTAATAAAGGGAAATAGTCTTTACTATCTAATATTAAGTAGAAAAGGCATAGATACAACTAATTACATGGCTGTTGCACATCTTATCTTTGCTTTTAAGAATTTGCTATTGTGTCCCTTAAGTCTTGACAGAACATATTCATAAAATCTCTACCTGTCGTTCAGGTCGTGTAAAGTAGACAGGATTTCAGTTTTAAATCTAAAACTAAATAAATTAAAAGGTAATTTGTGCAGGATAGGAAATATTCCTTACTTTCTGAAAGAATACTGTGTGTGTGTGTGTGTGTGTTTTTTCTCCCCCAACCTTCTTCAGTAGTGGGATGGGAGGGGAGTAGAGGGAAAAGGAATGGTAAAAATATTCTGGGAGGAAAAAAGTTTAAGCACAAGAAGTATACTGAACCCTTCACACAGTATTTTAACATGTATATTTTTAAAGGATGGATATGACTCTAAATTTATTAGAAGAACAACAATAAACAAATTAGAATTTGTTTATTGTCTTTACTGTATTTTACATTTGAAGTGAGTACAGGACATAACATGTTTCAATTCACTTCCAGGAAGAGGTTAATTATTTTTGGCATAAAAAATCTGAAAAAAATCCTACAAGTTTTCTTAGAATAGTTAATTTGTGTAAAAATGGAACTGTCTTGAGAATATTTCACTCAGGAAAAGGGAATAGCCATTGAGGGGAACCATGCATTGCTGCCTTAGAATTGTCTTCTGGAACTGCTTTGAGTTTTGCAGTCATTTTCTGGTAGAAAACTATTACTCTAAAAGCCTTTAAGAATGCACAAATGGTAGGTAGCAAGATTTCAAAGCTCTATGAAATGGCCTTGTAGAATAAAATATACTGTACATGGGATATTATAGGAAAATAGTCCTACAAAGTTGTGGTTTATTGCATCAGTTGCATGAGAATGCTGCAATAGGCCCTTTCTTATTTTTGAAATGTTTACATATATTTATATGTTGTTTCTCTATTTAATGTAACTTAGATCCTCCCTAGCAGCTATACAGATAATTCCATACAAAAGGAAATGTCCTCTTTGAAATATTAAACTGTTGGACCATGGAAATTCCTTAGAAAATGCTTATAACCATTTGGTTATAAGGACAATTCTACTGAAATTTTTTTTTTGTTTTTGCTAGAAGACAGGCTGTATCTTCTGACTTAAAAAGCTGCTTTAGGAAGAGTTGCTGATGTTGATTTTTGAAGATATGGCTGAAATACCAGTAAACATAAAGAATAAGATTTAAAGACCATGTTAAGAATTGATGCTTAATCATACTAGATGTATATTTCAGTGAGATATTTTCTGTGACAAGTCACACTAATTTTGAAAATATTTCATTTATTACACACTTCTGCTTTAAAGCAATTGCAGAATATAATATAAATTGCACCATCTCATATAAGTTTAAGCAATAACAAGCAACTTTGTTATTCACGTGTTTAACATCTTTAATTTTTCATGAATGATTACAGACAAAACATGATAATCTTACTGAGGAAATTCAGGCCTCCAAAAGCTTCACATATAATTAAACAGTTGTTTGTAGACTTTAAAACCAAAAATCAACTCTTGCTCCTATCACCAAACTTAAATGACAGAGCAAAGTACAAGTCAAACACAAAGTGAACAAAGTGAGGATCACTGTTCCCTATGCTACTATCTATCTGACAGGGAAACTTGTTTGACCCAGGTCTGTTGAAGGAATTCAGTTTGACGATTACTAGTTAGAAGTGAAGCTGTGGAAGGTACAGTTTATTGAGAGCAAAATTACTATTCTTTACTTGACTATCAAAGGGAATAATTTGTGCCATAATACTTCACTTACTTTGCTTTCAAGATCAATAATTTAGTATAGCTTTACCCTGAAATTTGTTTAGGCTGCTAAGGGAATTCTAGCTGTAGCTGTATGTTTAAGAAGTGGTGGCTTCTTATTATTGACTAAATAAGACAGGTTCTTAGTATGGGTGGTTAGTATGGATCAGTAGATCATTCAAAGCACTAACCACTCTACTAAATGGAAAAAAAAATCTTGCAGGAGGCCATACGCTTTCAGTTTGCTTCTCATCAACATAAATTTGATATTGGAGAAAATGTAGAACAAGCAATATTGGTCAAAGACCCTGACAAGCATTTCATTGGCAAAATTACTGGTAAGTTTTATTATTTTACCCTTGAAACATGTATTGCCCTGTTACCTTTGGTACGTAGTAAAAGCCATGCTCTTGGGTTCTTAAATTTTAAAGAACGGTGAGATGTGCTACTTTTTTGGAAGTGTTTCCATGTATTTGCATATGATAGAAAGCATGGTTTCATCTGTACCGCCTCCTATTGACAATAATCTCAAGTCTCTGTAGAAATAGAAAGAACAAATTAATACATTTGCATGCCATACTGGTAGAAAAATACAGCTTTGTTGTTCTATGCATTTAGTACGGAGCTGCTGTTATTACATTGAAACCCCTTGTTTACAGAAGCATATGCACTGTGTGCAGGTGTTATCAGCTCTGTAAATACCCTTCTGTGTAGCAGGACATTGTTAGTTTATCAGAAAGCTTCAGGTATAATTTGACATGTTCAGTTTTCAGATTCTTTGAAAAATAACCTTAAGTTGGCATACCACTATATTTTCTTCTTCATATAAATTAAGACTTTTCTTAGTATATTGTTGCCCCTGCCTAAGCCCAGAAAGAGCCCCTGCAACTGAACTCTGAAGAGACTTCTGTT